CGCGAGGGCGTGGCGACGGAAGGGGGTGGGGCCCTGCCCGCGGCCCGAAGGTGTGCGCAGGCGCGAGGGTCGGTGCCTCGGGGGGGCTGTGGGCGGCCAGATGCGAATGCGTCTTGTGCAACCGGACGTCTACAGTCCCCAAGTCTGGGGAAAATTTGTGTGGTTCGGGCAGGCAAGCGTGGGACTGCGGTTGTGTAAAATCTCTCAGAGGGCGGTGTTGACTGCGCAAGGCACACGGCAAAGGCCTGGCTATCTAAACCTCTTAAAACCACAACAACAACAACGAAAACAAAGCCGCCCTCGTGTGGTCCGGATGCCTTTTGTTACCGACTTCGTTGATTCTTTGGTGCTCATCTCTCAAGGGTTTCGCGTCAACCCTTTTTGTTAGTTTATGTGTAGCTTGTAGGCTTCTATTTGGATGAAGACGAAGGTGCTATATGAATCAAAAGAAAAAAGGAGGAGGAGGACTTATTTGGAAATAAATGCTGGCTGATAAAGAGTCCTATGATAACATAGTGGGTGGGTAATTTTTTGTGTGCCATTAAATGATTCTTGAACACACTTAACGTAGTTAAGTGCATTTATAATAACTCTGGTAAAAACTTGGGGTGGGGGGGTAGAGCTGAGGTTTGGAATGCTCAATGGTAGAGCATCTCCCCGAATTTGAAAGGTGTTTCCCCTTTCTTCGAAGAAGAAAATGAAGTCTTACTAGACCCCAATAGGTGAGATCTCTCCTTTCCGATGAGGTGACATCATACATCATATGTGAGCTACCAAATATCAAAATGCATTTAAAATATCCCATCCTATATGAGCTACTGAATATCAAAATACATTTAAACCTAAGAATTGGACACTTTAAGAGCGTACAGCATAGCTATGCATTGTCAGGCATTTTTCTGAACACACACACACACACACACACACACACACACACAGGAATATGCTGTGGCAGACCTTCAGTTCATCACTCAAGCCTGGTTTATTCACACTCACATTATCCTCTAGCTCTGAGGGGCCTCAGGTACCCTCACAGATCTCTGCTGACTTGGTCAAACCAGTTTCTCCTGAGAACCACTTACATAAAGGTGTGTCAAGTCTTTAATTAGACTGGACTTTCAGAAGAGGCCTGCTTCTATGCTGATGGAGCAACCGGATCAGGATTTCAAAACTCACTCACTATGTGGTTGTGCCTCATCTGCTAAGTGTTCTCCCCGTGAGGTTCTTTCATGTTATTCTCCCTCTTTTAAATAGTGTGAGCAAAAGGCCAAAAGTACCCTTTGTGTGGCAATAAGCTATGTTGTCTGTGATATCATATTTTGTTCCTCTATTTTCCACCAAGCAAACCACTAAGGAGCTGGAAATGAAGTTTGATTTATGATTGACTCATTTCTCTTCCTTCTTTGTACAAGGGTCTATAATTACAAGGAAATCAGTTGTTGCCGCTCAGACCGTGTGTTTTATGCCGGACCTTAAACCCTCTCTGATCCTCTTTGTCTTTTGGATTGCATCTGTGGTCTCAAATACAGCCCGAGTTCCAGCTTGAAGTTGACTCCCTTCTCCCACTCCCATTACTAAAGGAAATGATTTATTTTTGTTTTATGTGTATGAGTGTTTTGCCTGCCTATGTGTCTGTACACCAATGCCCTTGGTTATCCCTGAAACTGGAGTTACAGACTGTTGCAAGCCAACATGTGGGTACTTGGAATTGAACCTGGGCCCTCTGGAAGAACCAGTGCTCTTACCCGCTGAGCCATCTCCCCTGCTCTAGTAAAGGACTTTTTAAAGGCCAGTAGGATTTTGAGCTTAAGGCCTTTCCTTTGTTTTAGACCCAGAATAAGGTTGTATGTGGCAGCCTGAGGAACAAGCTCTAGAACCCCTGACTCTATGTTTCAGCCGTAGAGATATTTGTAGTTCCCAGAACACATCACTGTGGTTTCATGCCGTCTGAAACCTGATTTCCTTCTTCCTGAAATGACCTCCTCCTTCTGCCTCTTGTTCTGGCAAATGCTACATTGGTCTTAATGTTTTAACCCCTCAGCTGTTTCTCTGTAGAACCTGTCTTCATTGACTATAGGCCATGTTCCCAGAGCACAATATGTACACACATTATTTTCATGCTGCTGGTACTGATTTCTATATAGGGTTTAGGGCCTTCACAAGGGCCAGGATTACTTGGTTGCTCTTTTCACATGCCTGCCTCAACTAGCAGTATGGTGAGCTTCTGCTTCTTCTTCTTCTTCTTCTTCTTCTTCTTCTTCTTCTTCTTCTTCTTCTTCTTCTTCTTCTTCTTCTTCTTCTTCTTCTTCTTCTTCTTCTTCTTCTTCTTCTTCTTCTTCTTCTTCTTCTTCTTCTTCTCCTTTCTTTTGGTTTTTCGAGACAGGGTTTCTCTGTGTAGCTTTGTGCCTTTCCTGGAACTCACTCTGTAGCCCAGGCTGGCCTCAGGCTCACAGAGATCCGCCTGGCTCTGCCTCCTAAGTGCTGGGATTAAAGGCGTGCGCCACCACCGCCTGGCATGGTGAGCTTCTTATATGAGTGAAACACTCTTCCACAGTCAAGGACCCATGATTAATCAAACACTTGCTCAAAAAAGCCAACCCGGCTCGTAGAGCAAGCCTCGTTGCTGTTGAACTCTTGGGCCCAGCACAACTTCTTGGTTTTTTTTACTTTTTCTTTTTTTTCTAAGACAAAGTTTCTCTGTGCAGCCTTGGCTATCCTGGAATTTGCTTTGTAGACCAGACAGAGATGCACCTGCCTCTGCCTCCAGGGTGTTGGGATTAAAGGCTTATGCCACCACTGCCCTGTTTTTCATCATCAGAGCAAGCCTCAGCTGGTTTTCCCTGCTGTTATGCTCCACCACTGGCACAGACTTCTGAGACCTCCTTGTACACTGACTGCCAAGTACCACTCCCATTCCTCTTCCCCAGAAGACTTCCCCAGAACAGGACTTACCATCAACACTTATTTTTTGAACGGAAAGAACAGAGATAGCATTACCTTTTGATCATTTTAGTATGGGATATTTCAAATCGTTCTCAGAGTAGAGAAACTAACGGAATGAAGCTCTATGCATTCCTCACTTAGGTCCAAGAATGACCAGCATGTGGCTATCAATTTTAGATGGACACAAATCTACCTCCTTTCTCTTCTATAACATTACTTTGAAGGACACTCCAAACATCATATCAATTTTTTTGTAATACTTTTAGTATGTACTCATGATTATTACTTTTTTGTTAAGTTGATTGGATTTAGAATCACCATGGGAACACACCTCTGGGTATGTCTATGACATGTTTCCAGAAAGGTTTAATTGAAGAGGTGGTTTAACTGAATGTGAGTAGTACCATCCCATGAGCTGGGATCCCAGAGTGAATAAAAAGGGAGAAAAGTGAGCTGGACAAATAAAATTCATCTCTCTTTGGTTCTTGTCTCGGATGTGGGGTGACTGGCTGTCCCATGCGACTACCATTATTACTTCCTGGCCATAGCAGACTGGCACCTTCAAACTGTGGGCCAAAGGTAACACTTCGAACCTTACGTCACCTTTGCCAGGCCATTTGCCATGGTGACAACAAAAATGTATGTCATAGAAAATTTGTTCAGTTGTTGCCATGATGAACCTGACTATGTGGTTTGAAGGTCTTTGAAACTTTGTGGGAGGAATGTGGAAGAGTTTGAAGTTTAAAAAAAAAAAAAAAATTCCAGAATCTCTGGGACTCTGTAAGCTGAGCTCCATGGGCCAGGCTTGTAGGAGTTTGGAAAACTAGAATGCTGAGGAAAAAAATGTTTCAGAAAGAAACAAAGATGATGAGGAATGGGGCTAGAAGCTATTTTTGTGTTACACTCCAACAAGGAATCTGGCTTCATTCTGTCCAGTCCTTCAAATTTACATGAAGCTGAATTCAATGGACAAATGTTTGGTGGAAGAAATTTCAAGACAGCAAAGCAGTCAGGCTTGTGGCTGGGCTGCCGCTCACTGCTTTTAATTCAGAGCCACAGTGAGCAGAACAATAGGAAAAACATGCAGTTTGGTAAGGAAAAACAAGTGAGAAATTTAAAGTTGTGGGCAAGGAGGTTACAGACAACACATCTGTAATTGTTAATGAAATTAGCCACAATGTTAAAGAGAAACCTCACATTCTTCACAGGGACAATAGGAAAAGCGCCCTGTGGCAAGACCACATTCATCGCCAAAGGCTCCAACTGGTGAAAATGAAAGTTAATAGAAAGAAGAGAGCCTGTACTTAGAATGCCACCATAGCCGTCTCCCTCCTCCAAAATGGTCCCCTAGTAGAGTGTTTTTCCAGGGCCAGACAGGAAGACATAGGATTGGCACAGCAGCTGTGGTCCAAGGGGTGGGGCAGGCTGAAAGGGAACCTCTCAGCTCAGGACCTCCAAGACCAAGTTCTCAGCACAAAGGTGATTTATTTGCCCCAGAAAGACAGAGGACAGGGAATAAGAGACAAAGACAGGAGACAAAGGAT